CACAAAGTGTTTGTCCCCTCTGGCGGGAGGCTGCGCTCCATCAGGACCAAAACCTCTCTCCACCTGAACAGTTTCTTCCCCTCCGCTACCGCCCTCATCAACAAGGCCCGGCCCCCCCACTGACACTGACTATCATCCACCACACAGACATGATGCATTACATCATGTGAACAACATCTGGTTCTTTCGTGAGCCATGTTCATGATCAACTCTCTGAATGCATTTTTGCACATGTCTGCACAGCCCTCCACTTCAAACTATAAATCATGTCTTTATTTTGATTTTACCTACTATTGCAACTTATTTTCTGTGATTGTTTATGGTCACAACAACATACACCAGAGCAAATTCCTTGTATGTGTAAACGTGCCTGGTAATAAATTCACTGTCCTCTATGCTCGGAACAAAAATGTTGTTTTGATTTTGTTTTTTCTGCACTGCCACCATTCCATAAGATTTGGAAATGCATAGTAGGCTTATTTATTTCCATATTCTATGTGTAAGATCCAACTAATGGGACTATGAAGATGCAAACATAAAAGTGTTCTTCAGAAAGAATCAAATGAAACGTATGTATTCTTCCTTTGTTCCGTTTCCTTCCTTGCAACTGATTCAAGCTTTTGTTGGATATTTCCCCCGTTTCTTTTTATTTAACTTGTTAGACAAAAAAACAAGATTATTTTATATTTTACTCCAGAAAATATAATCAATCATTTTACATAATGAAAACCACTTATTTGATCTGAGACTTCTCACCCTCTGTGAGGAAGCACAAGCTCCCTCACTAACGGCTAAGCCCTTTGTTTGTAAGGAAAGGAAGTATTTATTTATTAAAAACTATCAGTCTGTGCTGATATTGTATGTTTTGAATGTGCAATATTTTTGTAAATAAAATAATGCATTGACTTAGGCCTTGAGGATTTTGTTAGTTGTAGAAAAACAATGTTTATTTCTCTGTTTAACTCGTCACTCCCCTTTCAGAGTCATGACATGATAGGCCAAATTGAATTAAGATGGCGGGCTGTCTGCTATAAGAGTCACTGGAAAGAGAGAGGAGGGGGTTGGAATTGTTACTTTTATTGGTGAAAGAGCAGCACCAGGCCTGTTGTGAAAAGGTTGTTTTATATTTCCGTAAAATAATGCGATACATGCCAGTCTTCTGGGTAAAATCCTGTGCTTGTTTGACCCATTCATTCACTCCAACCTCTTCTCTACATTCAGAACGTGCGTAAACCTAATCAGTCTAAAGATAATACAAAAGATGAATTTGCAATATATTCCCTTTCTTAATCTTAATCCAATTAGCTTTTTGGTAATCATTTTCGAAGAAAGTGACTAATATGAGGTTGTACATGACACAAGGAGTTTATCTAGAACATATCCTGTGTCTGGCTCTACTTCCTATGTGTCATGCTTCTTGTCAGCCAGCTGTATTCATGTGTCGATTCTCTGACCGCTGTGCTGTATGATTTAGGGACTTCTATTGGGATCTCTGTTCATGTTAGCCCATCTGCAGTGAGTCATACCAGCATCCCTTATCATCTCTGAGTCCCTTCTTCTTCTCATGTCCAATGCTACCTGATGTCCAGTGGACCAGGACAGAGCTGGCCTCGGGATGTCCTCCTCAGCTCACAGTGTTTATTCTTCAAACCTGTTTATACATTTTTTATCTCGGTTGGCCAACTATTGGCAGTTCAGGTCTTCGATTTATCTCTAAATGCCAGGTGTAGGAGAGACTTTCTGTGAGGTGGATTCCACTTCTGTCTGATTCTCTTTGTTTCTTATTTCTACATTATGACATGGACATGAGAACACCCCGGTCGCTGACCCACTATGTTATAAGAAAGGGCCTGAGTTTTGACCCGCAGACCTTTGCCTGACCTTTGGCTACTTCCTGATAAAGGCAAGCCCAAAGCCCCCCTCAAATATGGACATGGAGCCCTTTGACACTGTGGCAACCTTACAACTGATAATATGATACGCATTGTCCTATTTTCAGTAACTTTATTTTAAGTAACTCTTTTCATGCCACTTTTTACTTCTACTTCATTTATTTAACATATTTAGTTGCTAGTTACTTTAAAATTAAGTTACTATCCCCAGATGGTTTATTTCGGAGGAGAAAGCTCTAAACAAACATGTCAGTGTGTGTCAGTGTGTGTAATCAATCGAAGGAATGGTCACAACATTGGAACTACACATGTCACGCAGTCACAGTGTGATGTTCTCACTGCAGGCATAAACAGATGAAGACATGTCCAAACAACCCAGTTTGTAATACACACACACACACACACACACACACACACACACACACACACACACACACACACACACACATGAACAATGGCCCAAAAATAACACTAGAGATGCCTATGCCCTGCATTATATACAATGCTGCACCCCCATCACATGCACATTAACATAAAGGTTACTTACCCAAACAGAACACCAAAAAAAGACAGAAGAGTAAACCATGCCAGCTTGTGTGTGGCCTCAGCAGGGGTAACACTTAATAGGAAGAAGCTCAAGCCCCTTCCTGAGGGGACACAGTTGGCAGAACAATTAGTATTTTTGAAATATTGAATCAACAACCTACCAAGAAAAATGATGGTCTGCTTCCTTGCTGTCTTGACCTTTGAATTTTCATGCTTTGGTGCTGTTTGGACCCCGTTGGTGCCGCTCTCCCCGGACCCTAGAGTCCTCCGGAGGACGAGGACCATGGCCCGGCACATGACGGCCACGCAGACCAACACCACCATGTAGACGATGAAGGCTACGAAGATGCTGACCCTGTACATTACCCAGTGCTCCCGCAGGTTGGTACAGAAGGTCACATTCTGGACCGGCAGATCTTGTTTTAAGGGAATGTGTCCCTGCGTTCCTGTGGCAACCAGCAGGGGCAGGGCCACAAGGACCGAAACTAGCCAAGCGAAGGTGATGAGGGCAGAGGTGCGTTTTCCACCCAGGGCTTTGAAGCGGAACGGGTGACAGATAGCCACATAGCGCTCAAAGCTAAGCGTGGCCACGTTGAGGATGGTTGCGTAGCTGCAAGCCTCGAACAGGAAGTTGTAGATCTTACAGGATGCATTCCCTTCTGCGGTGGTGAACGGGAACCAGATGGCGCTGTAGAGCTCCACCGGCATGCCAATGAGGAGCACCAGCAGGTCGGAGCAGGCCAGGCTCACCATGTGGTCCGTGACGTTCTTCTGCAGGTAGCCGTTACGCTTCAGCACTTGCGTCACTCTGATAGTGACTGAATTGCCCACAATGCCAGTCACCAGGATGAGGCTGTAAAAGATTGTGAGAAGGATTTTGACGGGGTAGCTGGGTTCAAGCTCAGTCCAGTCTTTCAAGTCTGCTATCTCACCTTCCTCATCCATGGTTACAAAGCTCAGATTTGTGTCGGTTAGCTTATCAGTTTTGCTGGGCGCAGCCTCTGTGATTACAGCCTGGATCCACAAGAGACCCGCTTTCCAAGATAACAATTTATAATGAAGGCTTTTCTTTGTCCCTGATTCTTCAAGGACAGTTTTCCATTGAGCGGTAAACTCCAAATCACAGAAGGTTACACACCACTGTAGGAAATATCATCAGTACTCTTCGAAATATTTGGTCTCTTAACCTCAGAAATCCATTGAGTGGTTCTGAGCCTGGTTCATCTCCTCCTATCCCTGATGATCTCCTAGGATCCCGGAGAGCACTTTCACGTTCCAGTCCAGAGTCTGGTGGTTTCAGTGTGAGCACAGTGTCAGCTAACACTGTTCTCACACAAACCTCCTCCCACCTAGCAGGGCAGGGCGGTTAAACATTAAACTCTGCAACAGGCAGCTAGTGCTGAGGCCAGGTTTCATTTCTTATCATCAACTAATGCGCCTCCCCTTCACACAAACACTCGTTTTATTTCAAGTTGTTGTTGGGACTAGAGATTCCCCTAAATAAACATACAAATGTATGCAACTTAGAAACTAAGTAAAACCTTGAGTCAAGCCTGACTTTTTCCAAATAAATAAGTTGGTTGATTAACACTGTAGTTTTGGATGGAGATCATCTTAAAGACAAAAATGGAGCAGCGGAGAGTGACATTCAGAGAAGAGCTGACAGTGAGAACTGGAGAGGCCCTGTATTAAAGACAGAAAAGTGGAAAATTGATTAAACAAAAAAAAACTTGCAGGGAAGTTGAAAAGTTCAAACCGGAACCGGACTGAAAAAAGCCAGGCGCGATGCGTAGGTGGAGTGATCACATTTTTCAGTGAGTTCATAGGGATGTTTATAATGTAGAAATACAGCATAAACAGAATAGGAATTAGGTGATAACATACGGGCGGCTGATACAATGATATTCTTAGAGAAGCTGGTTTTCCTATGCTTCAAAGATAATACAGGACTGTTTCCTTTAAACACTGAGGAGAACACTGGACGCTTTTCAAAGGAATAGTCACAAAAAAACACAAGAAAAAAATAGTTAAATCCTCAAAGGTGCACATTAGATGTTCTTTTAAGTGGGACATTTTATCATTTTGGTTTATGAATGACAGTGGGCTTAATTTAAAAATAAAACTTAATTGGGCAACATACTTTGCTGGCATGTGACATGTTTCATGTGTTATTTTTTGTTATAATTTATATCATATATACTTCAAAGATTAAAAGAAACACAGTACAGGTCTACTAAAGCCTCAGAGAAAACATATTTTATACTCCAACTGACCTTAAATGTGTCCTTCTTAATGTCTTTTATACTGGCAGCTTTTTACTCAACAATAAGGCCTCTAGTCTTTGCCCAAATGTGATGATACATCATTGCATTGCATGCACTGTTTGTAGACATTCAGCAGAACAATAGGCTAGTTGCACAAGATGGCGTCTATCAACTTCCGGCGGCTGGGTGTGAGCCTGAGTACTTCCGGTCTTCGGTGTGGAGTTGTTTGGGGAG